GGTTTGTCTCCCTCCCAGGTCCCATCTTGTTTCACTTTTTGCTCTCTTCCCCTATGATCCTCTGTCTTCTTTCTCAAATTCTGCATATCATTGAGCTCATATGATAATTATCTCTTATTTTGCTCAGCATAATACCCTCTAGTCCATCCACGTCATCGCAAATGTCAAGATTTCATTTCTTTTGATGGCTGCATAATACTCCATTGTTGATATACACCACATCTTCTTTATCCATTCACCTGTTGTTGGACATCTAAGTTCTTTGCATAGTTTGGCTGTTGTGGGCATTGCTGCTATAAACATTCGGGTGCACGTGCCCCTTCGGATCACTACATTGCTGGGTCATATGGTGGCTCTATTTTCAACTTTTTGAGGAAACTCTACACTGTTTTCCAGAGTGGCCGCACTAGCTTGCATTCCCACCAACAGTGTAGGAAGGTTCCCCTTTCTCCACATCCGCCAACACCTGTCGTTTCCTGACTTGTTAATTTTAGCCATTCTGACTGGTGTGAGGTGGGATCTTACTGTGGTTTTGATTTCTATTTCCCTGATGCCCAGTCCCTGATGCCCAGTGATGTGGAGCACTTTTTCATGCGTCTGTTGGCCATTTGGATATCTTTTTTGGAAAAATGTCTGTTCATGTTCTCTGTCCACTTCTTGACTGGTAGGATTAGTATAGTTTGACAAAATTCTTTTCAGCCCTTTTTCAGATTAGCATTTATATGAAATCTTAATCACCCACGTTTTGATGTAAGTCATTAAAATCAGCACATACTCCCTGAACAGTGCTGGGGTCTAGCAATCTCCCAGGTCCATCTACTTCAAGAAGCTAATACTCTAGTGGTAAAAGAAATTGTGTTTCTTAATATTCTGGCTTTTTTTTTTTTTAAGGATTTTATATATTTTCTTGAGAGCAAGAGCACAGAAGCGGGGGGAAGTAGCAGAGGGAGAGGGGGAAGTAGACACCCCGCTGAGCAGGGAGCCTGATGTGGGACTTGATTCCAGGACCTGGAGATCATGACTTGAATCAAAGGCAGATGCTTAACCGACTGGACCTCCCAGGCGTCCAGGTGCCTGGATTTCCTCTTTGCATAGTGGTGTTACCAGTACTACCAGCCTCGTGAATCAGCCTGATGTTTCCCAGGAGAATTGAAGTCTTCACACCAGAACTCATTCTGCTTTTACCAGCCAGTGAAATTCTTTGCCTCTGCCCCATGCACCTGGTGCTCCAGTGGAAGCAATGTCTCCATTCTGTGCCTTCCCACCCTCTGAGGGATGACTCCCGACTGTTCAGGGATCCCTTAGCACACTCTCAGCTAATCTGTTTCTGTTCACGTTGAACTTGGGTTTCCTTGTCTTGAAGAAAAGAAAGAGTCCTTTGCATCTGGTTGTGGTTTTCCTTTCCTCCGTGTGCACGGCCACACCTGTCTGCTTCCTTACCTCATCACCCTGCCGAGGATGCTCCTGCCGCTGCCTCCAGGACTCCCCTTATTGCCAGTTGCAATGGCTCTATCATCCTGACCCGTAATTTCATTTTGGGGTAAAGTCCGTAAGGCTACAAGGACTTTGAAAGAAAGCTGGGTGTTCTTAGGGCAAGAAAGAAAGAAGGCTTTCTTTTCATTAATTCATTGACAGATACTTATCAAACACTCTTCTAATCAATGAAGATATAGTAATTAATAAAATGAGTGAAAGTGCCTATTTTTTCTGGAGGTTTTGTTAGTTGGAATTTTTGATCGGAGGAAATAGGCAAACAAATAGGTTAAATAGATAATGATAAAGGATCATCAGGAAAAACAATAAAAGAGGAGTGTACGTTTCAGTAGGGTAGATTTTAGGTTACTTGGAGAGGGAAGGCCTCTCTGAGAATACGACATGGAGCAAGGCCCAGAGGAGATGAGCAAAGGTACCGAGAACTATCTAGGGGAAAAGCAGACCTTGCAAACCATTCATGTGGTGTTAGCAAAAATGCTTCTTTGAGGTATGAAATGTTGTGTGTGGTTTTTTTTTTTAAGATTTTATTTATTTGACAGACAGAGATCACAAGTAGGCAGAGAGGCAGGCAGAGAGAGAGGGGAGGAAGCAGGCTCCCTGCTGAGCAGAGAGCCCGATGCGGGGCTCGATCCGAGGACCCTGGGATCATGACCTGAGCTGAAGGCAGAGGCTTTAGCCCACTGAGCCACCCAGGCGCCCCAAGGTATGAAATGTTTTTACGAAGATTCTTGTTCTTATGGTAAAAAGGAAAGTTGGATATTTTGAGGCATTCTGTTTCAAATTGACTTACTAGGATAAAACAGTATTTTTCATGATTTAATCTTATAGAATAAGACAAATTCTAAGTTAATTTTATTTCACATTTTCTTTGGCATCTAAGTGATTGCATGCTTTTATAGTTGGACAGTTTAGATAATGACATCTTTATTCCCTAAAGAGCTGTAGGTGTTTTTAAGTAACTGTGTCATTAGCTGAGGTGACATAGACAGCTCTATGGGGCTGTCAGCCAACTTACTGGGGCTTAACGGCTGTTTCAGGAAGAGAAATTTTAGCATTTGTATGCTTATGGAACATTTCAGTAAAATAACTGAGCTTCTGAGGCAGTAAGACTGTGTGTTCTCAGTATTCACAGCCCGATTTATTTCAGGGAGAAAGAAGTTCTAAGCACAAACGTACAGATTCGTGTTCCATATTCGAGAAGCCGTCAGAGTGGGGTCTTGCTCAACCCTCAGGTGGAGCCCTGTTTAGTTACGAATGGATTAATATGATCTGTGGAATTGACTCATTTTCAGAGGCCCAGCTGTTGAGTATTGAGAAAACTGTCTGCAGTCAGCATCTTGAACTTGCTGAGGTCTGTCTCCCTCCTCTCCTGTACCCCTCAGGGTGGGGCGATTTTAGGAAGTACTAGACACATGGAGTAGGCAGGGGCACATGCTTGGAAATTTAAGAGCCAATAGTAATCACTTGTCCATTTCCTTTCCTAGTTTCTTGACATCGAACAGGCCATGAGAAGCATTTCTCTCCATTTTGTTCTTCTTGTGGGCTGTAGGCTTCTTTCCAGTACGATTGTGTTAACCCCTGTGCGCGTGTCTCTTGGGATCGAGCAGCCTATCTAGACAGCATTCTGTGGTTTTGTTTGTTTAGTGGCTCATAGGGAGAGTTGAAAGGCAAGAGGAATGGGCTCTTACTGGGTTGGATGAGGACCCAGTCTTCTGGAATGGGGTGCTTCTATGGCAGGACAGAAATCAGGTTTCATCTGCTTTGTCTGGGCCTGCGTGAACGCTAGTGCCCGTGTTCAGAAGCCGCAGGTAACCGCTGGGAGAGTCTGGGCCCTGCCGGAGACCTGAATACTTGGAGCACCTCTTGTGGGCGTGCGGGCGTGCGGGCGTGTGGGAGCCGCACGGGGCAGGTCCCACTGCCGTCCGGAGGTGGATAGGCCTTCCTGTTCTGCTCTCCCTGTTTTCATCCCCTTTCTTCTCCTTGGAACTCTCTGTTTGCTAGTAGGTAATACTTGAGTTTCGAGCTAGCCAGGGTGCAGTGATCTTTCTCACCATCTTACTGGCCAGTTACCATTCTAGTTCCATTTCAGAAAAGTTAGCGATAGAGTGTCATTTCCTTAAAGGAGAGAGAACTCAGATTTGAAATTCAAACAGCCATGTAGAAAATGATTACGGAAGAGGGGACTTTTAAAAATAACCCTGATTTTTGGCAACTCCCCTATTCAAAAGTAGTGTTAGTTTGTGATTGCTTAATAATAGGAAAACCTAGCATAGCAAAGCAGAGTTTTGTAATTTTGTCATCTAGAACTAAATATTGAGGGAACATTTTAATGTTTGTCCTTCCCATGTTTTCTGCGTATGCATGCGCGCGCGTGCACACACACACACACACTCACACACACACACAGGCTCACACAGGCTCACATTGTACATGCTGTTTTACAAACTACTTTAAAAAGCATTACAAAACTAAATAAATAGCAGTATTACAAATATTTTCTATATGATTAAATATTCTTCTAAAATATTTTCAGTAGCCGTGTTGTCGTCTGTCATACACTATAATATTTAATTGACCAGTCCCTTTCATTAGATTTTACCTGGCTTTCAAATCTTTGCTTTTATAAATTATACAGAGAGAACTTTGCATTAGCATGTGAATACTTTTCTGGCTATCTCTTCAGGATAATTTCTTAAGTAGTTTCATATACTTAGTGTTTTTCGTTTCTATTTCACTGAAGCAAACTTTGCTGGAAGAAGAAAACTAGTATTTCTGAAAGATGCCATGCCAGCTTCTATGTGGGATGCCTAGGAGTCTTCGAGTTCACAGAGTCTTTGGCCCTTTTCAACCAGTTTTATAGATGAACAAATCTCTGTGCAGATGTAATAAGATATTTTGTAGTAAGTTAACAGTGTGCAGTATTTAACGTTCACATGTTTTGTTTAGCAACTAACAAAGACCTTCGCCAGTCGCAAGTTAGTGCAAACTTACAGATGAACGTTTTAATTCTGTTTTGGCTTTAGAGTATATATTTATAATAAGACTTTTTCATCTTTTTGTGTTTTACCTAAGGGACTTCAGATCTAAAAAGTACATGTTAATTGGCATTCTTAGGTCCCAGAGAAAAAAAGTGGGTGATTCCCTTGTGAATTCTGGGTTTCAGTTATATGACTGCTGTCATGGATGAGTAACTTATAAATCACCTTTTATCTGTAAATTAGAAGCAGATAATAATAGTCCCTGGTGGAAATGGTTTCCCGTCCCTTAAGGTTGCAGGTGTGGCTTCTCAGACCTTGCTCGGATAGGCTCTGGCTAATGAGAGTGGACCACAAGGCGCAGGGGTGAGGGCGGACCAAGCAGTGGCGGGGGTGGGGGCTGAGGGCAGGCCATGTGGCGCATGGGTGAGGGAGGCTGACGGAGGAGCCGTGGGCTCTGCTCTGGGGGTGGGGCTGGGGCTCCAAGGACCTGGTGTCTGTTGTCTCATGCGGTGGTTTGTTGTGTCTCAGTCACATCGATCAGACAACAACGTGGCAGGACCCCAGGAAGGCCATGCTGTCCCAGATGAGCGTCACGGCACCCACCAGCCCCCCAGTGCAGCAGAGTCTGATGACCTCGGCCTCAGGTGAGTGAGACACCGCCGTCCCAGCACGGCGGCTTGGCGCGCGTCTGGGTCTCTGCAGGAGATGGTCCCTATGTACTCTTTTAAGGAAGCTGGAGCGCGGCTGACCGTTCATTCCATCTGGTTTTCTTTGCGAGCCCCGCCCTTTCACAAAACTGTGCTTCGTCCAAGCCTTGTTCAGTCTTTCTTTCATAAAGGGGCTGCCAACTGAAACCCAGCATTTTTAAGGTTTTAGTTCTGAAGTCACTATCTCAGATTCCTCGTTTGGTTAATTTTGACAAGCTGGCGTTTGACTCTACTGCTTTCTTTTGTCTTAAAGTTGGAGGTTTCTTCCCTTTGTGGTTTGGACGGGAAGCCAAGCTATGGTGTTCTTAACTACCATTTATTTGTTCATTTATTTATGATTTATTTATTTATTTGAGAAAGAGTGAGCAAGAGAGAGAGAACACGAGTCGGGGGGAGGAGGGAGGGACACGGACAAACAGACTCCCCACTGAGCAGGGAGCCTGACACGGGACTCAATCTCAGGACTTCAGGATCCTGACCTGACCGAAAGGCAGCTGTTAAACCCAGCCAGGCTCCCCTCTTTACTATCTTTTAAGGTGCATATTTATTCTGCCTTGAAAGTAACTGGAGGACAGCAGCATATAAGCCCCAGGCATCTTTCTGAAGTTCAGTATGAGTCATTGAACACATTTCCACCCTTGCCACAGACTTGAGTATGATCCTTTTTCTTATTCGGCAGTGTTTTTAAATCTGCTGTTTTTCTCATCTGTGTCATGCGGATTACAATGCCCATTACTGGAGAGTGAGAAATATTAAAGGAAATGAAAGAGTAAGTATGAGGCCTTTATTTACAGTTTCAGTGCAGAGCAGGAACTCCGTAAAGGTTTCATTACTTCTCTAGTCCTCCAATACCTTTGTTCTGTGGGCCCCATTCTGCACCTTCGTGTGCAGGAGAAAAAAGGTGCCCCTTGCTCTGGGAAGATGCAGCCCCAGACCTGGCACCAGGGATTGGAGCCTTCAGGCCAACTCTGACCACTTGCCTGTGCCCCACACTTGCCCGCTTTGCTGAGTGTCCCGGTTCTGAGCACAGGTGCAGCCACAGTCACAGGCAGCCCTGGGGCCTCGATGGCTTTCTGCTCAGTGTATCTGTCCTCCTTGTCCAGCACACTGACGAGCACAGTGTGTGCAGCTGCCTGTAGATATTCTCAAACAGCGGCCTCTGGCAAGGGGCTACCAGCTTGTGGGGTCTGCACGGCAGGTTGGCAGAAGGGCTGCTTGCCTAGGAGAGCTTGTAGAATTTGTTACGTCCTTCTGCCCCCAGAGATGATGCCCGTGTTTAGAGTGTTTCTGCTGTTCCAGAATTCTCTGTTCTTGCCTTTGGTGGGCTGAACACTTGAATTCTAAAGAGTTAAGTGCTGAAAAGAAAGATAACGCAAGATTCAGGACTAAAGTTGTCTTGTCATGAACTGTCTTTATAGAACTCTTAAAAAAAGATAACTCCTTAAATCTTCCATTTTAGCTTACATTAAGAATATATTTATTTATTTTCAGAATCTGTTTTGTATGTGATATTTAGATCAAAAGTTTCACGGCAAAATATTATGCAAGTATTTGACTAATATTTTTACTTGACATCTAGGGTTTTTTTAATCATCAGATTTCCAAATAAAAGTTGTGAAAGCTTTCTTGTACTTATAGTCCAACAAGATGATTCACATTACTCATTTTGTCACACTCCACCTAAAACTATGCCTTGGAAACTAGTAGTAAATAACTCATTAATTTAAGGTTTATTTTGGAAGATTTAGGCACTTTGCATCTAACAAGGTTGATTGTATTTCTTTTATTTATTTATTTATTTATTTATTTTTTAAGATTTTATTTATTTGACAGAGATCACAAGTAGGCAGAGAGGCAGGTAGAGAAAGAAATGAAGGGAAGCAGGCTCGCTGCTGAGCAGAGAGCCTGATGTGGGACTCGATCCCAGGACCCTGAGATCATGACCTGAGCCGAAGGCAGAGGCTTTAACCCACTGAGCCACCCAGGGGCCCCTGTGTTTCTTTTAGAATATTAGTTTTTTCTTTGTTTACTTATTAAATTTTCTAATGGTAATAGCCTTAAGAAATAGGGAGAATTTGCATTCAGATTTGTGTTTAAAAATCAAAAGTATGTATCAAATTATTTTTAGTGGGTTTCAGAATATTTGCATTTATATTTCCAGCTCTTTTGTAAAACATAAAGTGTGTTTTATACACTGCATGTAAATTAGTAGGCATGCTTACTTGTAGTTGTGTTAGTAAACGGAGGTGACATTGGCAGGGACAGTTGGAGCAGAGTGGCCTTAGCAGTGGAAGGTCTAGATAGAAGGTCGGAAGTGCAGAATTGGCCTGAAACGGGACAAGCCCCCCAGAGAGGCGTGGGCCTGCGTCATGGTAGGAGGGGCCAGTCCGTAGTCAGAGGGAGCCTGTCAGACATGCTGCTGGGGTCTGTGTGGTCTCGGCCAGGGAACCCTCACGGTGGCCAGTGAAGTTCTGTGCCGGTTGGTTTGTTGGTGGTTTTTTTTTTTTTTTTTTTTTTAAATTTTTCTTTCTAAGATTTATTTTAGGAGAGACTGAGTGGGCGCAGAAGCAGGGGGAGAGGGAGAAGCAGACTCCCTGCTGAGCAGGGAACCTGACGCGGGCCTAGATCCCAGGACCCGGGATCGCGACCCAGGCTACAGGTGGACACTTCCCTGATGGAGCCCCTGGGGCCCGAAGTTCTGTGCTGTTGTTATCAAAGTTACTTAAGTGACTTTCCCCAAATCACGCAGCTGTCAGTGGTCAAAGCCAAGACTCGGTGCTTGGTAATGGGCTCCGGAGCCCGTCCTCCTCCTCTGCGTGGGAACCAGTGTTAGGACAGGGCCAGAGAGGAGCCTCCAAGCCCACGAGGGGACAGGACCTGGGAGTGCACGGGCGCCCTGGGGAGCTGCTTCTGCACGAGGGGAGCGTGGGGGTGCTTGGTGAAGGCTGTTCTGTGGGTCATCACAGCACACTGCGCCTTGCAGTTGAGGTGTCCTCGCGAAGACAGTGGTCATCGTCTCTGCTGGGCCGCTGGGACAGCATGAGGAGTTAAGAAAGGAAGAGACAGATGTGGCAAAACTAAGAAGTTTTTTTTAACCCCAAACCAGAAACTGATCCTAGAAAGGAAAGGGAGTCACCAGAGTTTGAGAATGAGAATAGGACGTGAAGTGGCAGCTGTGTGAGAATTCTCGGAAGGTGTGGAGTGCGGGGCGTGTGGTCACCGGTGCACGCTGGCGCGGGGCCGAGGCTGCGGAGAGGCGTGAGGACGGCAGCCACAGAGCCTGCACACTCGAGTCCTGTCCCTCATCTCTTCAGGTTAGTGCCTGTTCAGGAACAGACAGGACCCGGACAGTCTTGAAACGCTTTAGAAGGACTGTCATGGGCACCGCAGTCTTGGCTGTTCTTCACACTCCCGCAGAGTGACAGCTCATGTGTCCCCGCGGGCAAGTCTCCGGCCAAGGGTCCCTTCTTCCGTCTGGATGCACCTGCAGGGCGTGGGGGCCGTGCTGTCTGCAGGGAGGTCCGAGGAAAGGCCCTCCTGTGCCTGGGTTCTCCACATTATCTGTGCGTGGAGACGACTCGTTTAGCGCCTAGAGACTGAGTGAGCGAGGAGAACTGTGAGGGTGTTTCCGGGAACGGGCGGGCGTCTCCTGCAAAGAAGCAGCAGGTGGCTTGCAGCGAAGCCGGGCTGTTTACAGTTTCCACCCTGAAGGGAACTTGAGATGGAAGAGTAGCCCCGCACGTCTCTTCAGAAGCACTCACTGGGTCAGTTGTCCTGCGCGCAACTTTTGATTTACATTTTTATTGTTAATTATTTAAGCAAGAGCTTTCGAGTTTTGCTTTTTTTTTTTTTTTAAGAATGAAACCTAGCTCTGTGTTCAGGTCTGCTTCTGATCAGACCCTACTTCCTTAAAACACAGTCACTTTCTTTAGACTCTCCAGACCTGTTTTCTAAGTTTTTAGTGGTTCACGGTACTGACTAGTCTTTTAAAATTCTAATTTTAAATTTTATGAAATCCTGTTTCTTTCATTCAGTCTAATTCAGTTAACAAAGTGATCAGTTTACTTCTGCTTTTACAAGTCTTTTTTCAAAGTATGAGGCTGAAATGATGGATTTCATTGCTGCCCTGGATATCCGTGGTTTGTAACTGGCCACCAATTATTATGTATAATTGAGAAATCACGTATTTGCCACTTAAATGGAAGACCTGAAAAGGATTCTAGAGGCATGACTTACTAGATGCGGTAAAGTAGGTTGTATCTTTTAATTGTCCATTTAATGGGCAAATAAATGACACTGAACCTTGTAAAGGGAATTTGAAAGGTGAAGAACAGAAAACGAAGGGGCACCTGGGTAGCACAGTTGGCCCGGGCGGCTGGCTCTGTAACGACCTCAGGGTCCCCTGGGCATCCGGCTCTGCGCTCCGCTGTGCGGGGCGTCTACTGGAGATTCTCTTTCTCCTTGTCCCTCTGCCCCACCCCGCCTCATGCTCGCTCTCTCTCTTTAGACAGATAAATAAATAAGTGAAATCTTAAAAAAAAAACAAAAACAAAAACTAAAAGGGAACTTGACTAATTCAGTAATAGTCCTATTTTACTATGCATTAAAATATGTAACACAGTCTTATATAGAAGTGCATATAAGCCCTGTCCTGTTGAATTACTTGAGATGACGGGCGCCTGGCTGGAGTGTGTGGCAGCTCCTCGTCTCGGGGTCCTGAGTCCCAGCCCCATGTTTTGGGTAGAGATTACTCTTTTTTTTTTTGACAGAGAGATTGAGCGCAAGCTGATAGAGAGGGAGAAGCAGACTTCTCCACTGGGCCGGGAGCCCAGTGTGGGGCTCAATCCCAAGACTCTGGAATCCTAACTTGAGCTGAAAGCAGACACTAACCTACTGAGCCACCCAGGCGCCCTGGGTAGAGATTTTTTTTAAAAGCT